GCTCTCGCTTTAGCGCCGCGCGCATTCTCTTTGTCAAGTTGCACCAGCTTCAGGGATGGAGGGCGGGTCCTCTTCAAGGTGCGGCTCTCGCTTTAGCGCTGCATTCCATCGTTTTAACACAGTTTGCAACAGGTTCAAGGATGGAGGGCGACTTTTCTCCAGACTGTAGCTCTCGACTTAGGGCCGCGCACATTCGCCTTAAGATATTGCAGCCGCTTCAAAGATGGAGCTGGCTTCGTTTTTGAAGATGCGTCTCTCGCCGTAGCGCCGCGCACATTCGCGCTATAATGTTGCAGCACCTTCAAGGATGGAGGGCGGTTCCTCTTAAAAGTGTTGTTCCCGCCTTAGCGTTGCGCGCATTCGTCTCGAGGTATTGTGCCAGCTTCCCGGATTGAGGGTGTTTTTTTAGAGATGCGGCTTTCGCTGTAGCGCCATGAACATTCGTGTTCCAATATTGCAGCGCATTCAAGGATGGAACGCGTTTTTTGTCAACGCGTTGCTCTGATTTTAGCGCCGCGCACATTCGTCTTGCAGAATTACGACAGTTTCAGCTTCAAGAGTTGAGGTCGGCTCCTTTTCAGCATGTGGCTCTCCATTCAGCACCGCGCACATTGGTCTTAAGATGTTGCAGTAACTTCAAGGATGGGGGGCGGTTTCTTCTGAAAATGGGGCTCTCGCCTTAGTGCCGCGCACATGCGTATTGTACTTTTGCAACAGCTTCCAGGATGGAGGCCGGTTCCTCTTCAGACCTGGCCCTCGCCTGAAAACCGCGCGTATCGGCTTCATACGGCTGCAACAGTTTCAAGGAAGCGTGGGGTTGAAATCCCATGAAAAGGTTCTGGCACGACTTCGGATTGTCAGGGCGCAGCAGTCACGTTGATTCGCGGTGTTGAAATCCCAGGAATGGTTAGGATTGCCATGAAACAACGGTCACGTTGATGCGCATCGTTGCAGTCCCAGGACGGGTGATTTGAAACGGTTGAAGAGTATCAGACACTTGTTTTTCAATTTGGCATTTCCCACGATGAAGCTAACGACATGCAGGGACCTATGAAGAGGGACCTTGGAGGGAAGGTTTACGGCAGCATCGTTGACGGGTTTTGGGCTTGCCCTGGTTCTCCTCCTATTCCTTCCTCCCCTGCTGCGCTCTCTCCCTCCTCTTCCTCTTCCCTCCCTCCCCTGCCTCGTTTCGCCGCGCCCTCTTTTTCGTCCTTTTCCTTCGCCGCCTCCTCTTTCTCCTCCTCCTCCCCCTCCATCTCTGCCTCGCCTGCTCCTCTCTCCAGACTCGGTGTCTTGCTTCTCGTGCTGGTGCGATTCGCGTCGCATTGTCCGCTAATGCGTGAGATGTTGCTCTGGGGATTGCGCTCCGTGGGGAGAAACAACATGGGCAAGTGCTACTGGCAGCCACTGCAATGAGAGCGCGCGAGCACGCTGTCTGAGACTTTCGCGCGGGCAGAGCCGATGCAGGTCCAGTCGATGCCGCCTTCCGTGCGTTGCCTTAGCAGGCAGGGAGCTGGTCAATGCCTCGACCTTGTTCCTCTCGCCCTTGTGCGGGGGCATCAGCTTGGTAGACCATGCGCCGAAGCGTGCGCAGAATGTTTAGTTCTTTTGAACGTAAAGGCCCTTTCCCGTGATCGTGACACTGATAGGTGTACGCCGCCACGATCGCGTGCGCCGCCGCGAAGGTAGTGGCACCGCGGTGCAAGCAGCGAGAGGGGTGCCTGGACGATCCCCAGCGTCGTTGTGGAGGGTGCTCCGGCAGCTCCGCCCGCCGAGCAACAGCATCTCCCTCGTCCGGAGGCGCGAAGCCGACGGCTGGCCTCTCGTGGCTGCGGCACCGAAGGCACCTTCAGAGCGACCTCGCTTCGGAGCCCCGCCGCCCGAGCTGATCGGGGCGAGCGTTCACCACGTGACCCGGGGCCCCTCTGAGCGAGGTCTGGCTCCTGCCCGACGTGCCCGTCGCTGTGGGCGGTTCGGCCTTCACCGACCCCTCTCCTGAGCCTCCGCGGGGCCAGCGGGGCGGTGAGACTGTTCCTTGGCTCGTTGCGGTGCCAGCGCGCGCCTGCGGGCCACGCGGCAGAGCTACTGGCCTACTGTGCGTGTGTGTGTGTGTTTCTTGCGGGGCTCGGGCCATCTCCCCTTGTCGTTCCTCGTCGTGCCCTTCGTCTCTCTCCTCGCTGCCTCTCTTGTACTTCTCGGAGTTGCATTTCGGCTTGCGCGCTGCGGCCTCCCTTGTGCCAGTTTCTCGGGCGCTTGACGCTTGCACGTCTGCCCCTCCCCCTGCGTCTCGCTGCTCGTCTCGGCCCGCCCTGATCCAGGACGACACGGCCTTGACTCGAGCGTGATCGTCATGTGTGCGATTGTTGACGCGGACGCGCCCCGTCTGCGTTCGACCGATCGGTGATGCACCGTCGCGGTGGAGGAAACCTGTGCGTGCGTGGGTATTGAATTTAGCGTGCCCCGACTTAGTACTCGCTGTGGGGGTATCACCCGGCTGCTGGAGGAAAGTGTGTGTGTGAGTGTGTGCCTGCATATGTGCGTGCGTGCGTGCATGTGTGTCTGCGTGCCTCTACGCCCCGTTGCCGCGCGCGAGGCCTTGACGCCAAAAAATGTGTCTCAGTGCGTGCGTGCGTGCGTGCGTGTCTTTGTCCACTCACCTTCTACGCCAGGTGTGAACGTGCCGAGTCGTGTCCCGGCCTTGCGCTTAGCGACGGTGCCGCCGCTTCGCCGCTGGAGGAAAAGTGGGTGTCTTTCAGCTCAGCACGCGCCACCTGCGAGGACCCACGCAGCGTGGTCAAGCACGCCCGCTGCCTGAGCACTGTGCAGGAGCAGAACTAGCGCGACTGGGCCAGTCGCTACCGAGAGGAGCCCGACGTCCGCAAAGTCGCCGAACGACGAACTGAGACAGTGCTCGCAAGTCCTGCGTGGCGACGCAGCGGTCCCGGCGTCTAGCCTCTGGCAGGGACCCAATCGGAGGGCCTCCTGCAGCTCCAGGGCCGCCCCCCACTGAATGGGTCATACCTTCTGTGCCCGCACGGAACGTGAATTCAGGGCGCTCCCTGCCTCCCCGCCTGCGGCGGGTGCCCTGCGGGACTGCAGCCCCAGAGTATCAGCCGTGGTCGCGGTGGGACGAGCCCTTGCGCTTGACCGACCGGCCGCATCGGGACGCCTGGTCATGCTGCGCTCGGCTCTAGGCGCAGGAGCGCAGCCAGCCGAGGTCCAGCCCAGTGGCCGCCGCTCATCACTGCTGCACCCAACGCGTACCACCCTCGGCCCGCACGGGAGCCAGAGCGGCGCGCCGAATGCGCTGCGGGCGCGCCAAGCGCGCGCCCTCTGCAGCGAGGTCGAGGCCGCCCGCCAGCCTGCGCACGGCAACCCAGCCACGTTCCCGGCTCCGCGTGACCAGCCATCTTGGGGTCCTCACCTCCTGGGTCCCCAGACGGGGCCCGACTCCAAGCAACACGATGTTCTTGGGCCCAGTTGGCAATCCTGACGGTAGCATGGCCGAGTTCCTATATTCACATGACTGCCTCCCCGAGGAGCGCTTCGACTCGCTGGTACAGAGAGAGAGAGAAGGAGAGAGAGAGAGAGAGATTCTGATTTCCACTACGGGAAGAGGTCGGGAGTCGACGCGGGCAAATTCCTGTCCAGCAAGCCGGACGCTTCCCCTTCCCCCAGGCGCCAGATGCCCCCGCGAGGCTCACAGCGGACGTCCGCAGATCAGGAGGGCCAAGAAAACTTAGTCCCAGACCCCCTCAGAGCTTACCCTCGATGGCCCGGCTGTCGGCAACCAACTAAGGGCGTCAGGGTTTTGACCATGCCGATGGCTGGGTAGGCCCGGCGTCCCCAGACCACTGCGGTCCCCCTGTTGCCAGGTGACTGCAACTGTAGCTACCACGGTGCAGCAGCTGACTGGCAACGCTGGCCGCAGCGGGCCACCCAGGGCCGCTGCTACGCCCCTTTTGCCGTGCAGTTTAGCACATGTCCCAGCCCTTCCACTCCTCCTGCGTCTCTTGAGAGCCCTCCTTCTCCGATCCGATGAGCATCTTTCTTTGCAGGCTGCTCTCCCTTTGCGTCGCTAACCTTTCTTGCCCTGGCACTGTCGGGGCACAAAGATGCTGACCAGTGGGGCTGCGGCAGCACAGGTGCCCTCACCGAGATCGCGCAACGTTTCCGCGGGTGGACCAACCGTGAAGCCACTTCCCCGATAATGCCCTGGCTTACTCGTCTGGGCCGGCCCTTTTTGCTCTGGCGCTGGCCAGCTCACCACGCTACACTTCCGTTGTGGTGGGCGTGCTTAATAGCGGCGGCAGCGCGCCAATTTTGTCAGTATTCCTCTGCTTTTCGAGATTCCGAGCGTGACCAGTATCACAAGAAGCCGAATGAGACACTTGGCGGGGATGGAAAACCATACTGTACACGCAAAGGGCTTCCCACGCTAATGTTGACACGTTTTGCATACTCAGGCCGTTTCGGGCAAGTGTCGTCCCGTTCCATGGTCACCCATGCTCAAGGCGATTGACCTTCTGTATGGTTCAGACCAGACACTTGATACTGAAGAGCAACCGTTCTTCACATTGTTATGTTGCTTTGCGTTGGCACGTTTCACGTGCTTCTGCATTGTGTTGTTCTGCCTTGCTTCGGGGCGTATAAATGCTCTCAGTTGGGGCCTCGCCTGGTTCACTGGCAAGGCAACCGCCGTCAATCTGCGTCGGCGCCGGTGATGACAAGCTCGGCCGTCACAGGCCGGGAGGAAATCTCAGGCGACGTGCCTAGGCCGCCCTGTCCACACGTCTGGTGGCGCTGCGCGGATGGATCTGCTCCCACGGAAGAAGGATGGGGGACGAGGGTGAGGGCGGGATGATCTCTCCCTGCCCTGCCTTGCCCGCCCCCCCCCCCCTTGGCCAGGGAGAGGGGGAGTGTTGTGGGCGGCGCCACGGCCGCGCAGACTGATCGCGCCAAGGGGCGGGTGAGGGGGTAGAGGGGTGGGCGCGCGGGCAGGTCACCGCGTCCGCGGACAGCACCGCAAGGAGGGACTCGGGACAGGGAAGGGCTCCTTGTTTCTCCTCGTTCCCCCGCTCCCTCATGGTTATCCTCCTTTCCGTTCTCCTCGTTCTCTGCCTCTTCTTCCCCCTCTTCTCCCTGTCTTGTGCTCCTCATCCCACTCATCCCCCATCTCTCCTCTCCACCTTTTCTTCGGGTGTTTCTCCTCAGTTTCTTGCTCCTAGATCTACTGCTTTTCCTCCCACTGTCCTCCCTCTCCTTCGCTCCTCTCTCTCCCTCTCTCGAGTTCCACCCTCCTCCCTGCTGCCTCCTCCCTCCTCCCTCCTCCCCTCCATCTGTTCTGGCTCAAGGCGCTCCCTCAGCCTTCAACACAGCTCCCCGCTGGAATCTATGATCTTCACAGTGACTTCACGGGAGGCGGCCGCATTTGGCCGCTGCAGTTCACGATCTGGGGCAGCAGCCTCTTTACGACCCGCCGCGTCCGCGGGGCGACGATCTTCTGTCCAAACAGCACGGCGGAGTGCCAAGAACACGAGGCGCAGCCTAAGGATGCCAAACCGCGAATCTGACCGGCGAGAAAACAGCATCCATTGGAGTTTCCAGCAGAACTTTCAGACCGCATCCAGGGCATGATGCCATGCATGTCAAGCTGATCCAAGGGGCGCCTCTTACGCCTCTGGAGCGACTACGAACGTCTTGGCAGGTCATGCTATGGCACTTGGGATTGCCATCTCTACTTGAGCGATCCCGCGCCGCCCACCACAACATCGTGGCAGCCCGCAGGCAGGAGGATGTCCACTCAAACCCTCCCAAGCGAAAACCAGCCAGACAACTCAAGGAACAGCACCGAAGCGGAACGCCCTGCGTATACGGACGCGGATCCCGACCATACTTTGGAGGCCACAGCTACCAAAACGAGTAGATTTCGACAACACCGACGCCAAGACATGCTGTTCCAACACACATTTGTAACTATGACCCGCGCGCCCAGCCCTCAAAGACGGCGCGCCCGCGGGCTAAAAGCTGCAAGTGACAGTATACCCTCCTGCCGCTCCTCCCCATCTCCAATTCACCCTGGATCCCAACTTACGCTGAAGTCCCCAACGACGGGACCGCGAAGGCAGTTCAACGTCAGTGCTCCTGTTCGTTTTCCGACGATGGGAATCCCTCAATGCGCCGGCCCAGTGCGCCCGTCAATGTCCAGTATTCTCACCCGAGCTCTGTTTCCTCCAAGGCGGCCCAGTCCTCTACACCTTCGGCCTATCCCCCCATCACGAGCCCGCCCCCGAGCTTCGAGCCCGACGGGCCTGCCCAGGACCGAGGCATCCTCTGGCCAACCAGGCAGTCTGTCCCAAGGCACTCCCCGTATGTTCGCAAGGAGCCATGCCAAGGCGCTCTCCCAACTTGCGGCATGCGCCGATGATGCTGGGCGCGTACGGCCCGAGCAATACATCACCAGCACCAACTTAGTTGGACCGTGGGTCCCCGCGTCTAAGATGCGCGCCGAGCAAGGGGGAGCTCTCGGCGGGCGCGTCACGCGGCGAAGGCCCTGGGGCTGCTCGCCGTTCGTTTTGCGGACGCGGCACGTCTTCTTCCCATCTGCATTGTCCGCGTCACTTGCAGCGGTTCCTGTAGTCCTGGCCCGAGGCGCGACGTGAAGCAGGGTGAAAACATTGCCAGCCAGTGACTTCAAGCCAGGTGCTGCGACGCGATGGATTGGACCCACCGCCCGATTCGCCCGTGCCAGATGCCGCGACCTGCTGAATTCGCGGCCCGACCGCGAATTCAAGATCGAGCACGTCCTTCATGCCATCGTCAAAGCCCGCGCCCTCCTGAACCACATCCCGAACGAAGGACGATCTTTATCGGCCAGCTCCAGGATCTGCCACCCGTGCCGCCCACTCCGCGACTGCGAGCCCGCGCTCATGTCTCGCCGAAGTCCGCCATTTCGCAGTTGCCCTCGACTTCAGCCAGGCCGAGACGGAGAGAGGCGGAACGGGTGACGCATCGTTGCCCTACCGTTGCGGAAAGCTGTGCCATCACAACGTCCCGTGGCACTCACATGTGCGTAGCTCTTGCAGAACACCTGACATCATGCAAGGCGCTCCCGTAGCACTAGCCCATCAAGAAATCAAAGCTGTGCTTATCCCGGTTCCCGAAGTAACACATCGATCCCGAGTTTACAGAACCATGGATGAGAGGGTTAGCTGCCGACGGTCAGCCGCGAATTGTAAGTACAGTCGCAGCATTGCATGCCGACGGCCAGCCGCGAGCTGTACCCAAACGTCCGCCAATCCCGTCGCTCCGTGCTTTTCCCGCTTTGCCCGGCTTTACACAACAGCCACGCTCCAGTCTCCTGCTGGAAGTGGCGTGCCGCCCGTCGGATCTAAGATTCCGCGCGCGCGGCACTACGACACCATCCCCATACGCAGTTCATCTACCTATACGACCACCGTTCGGGTGATAAGGAGGTTCGGAGGGGGGGGAGGAACCAACGTTTCACTCGATCGGTCTCACTATCAATCTCACTATCGATCTGACTATCGGTCTCGCTCGATCGATCTCACTCGATCTATTTCATCCGATCGATCTCACAATCGATCTGACTATCGATCTCACAATCGATCTTACTATCGATCTCACAATCGATCGCACAATCGATCTCACATTCGGTCTCACTATCGATCTCACGATCGATATCACAATCGATCTCACAATCAACGCCATCAACATCATCGTCATCAACGTCATCAACATCATCAACATCATCATCATCATCGGGACACCATCATCATCATCAGCTCATCGCCATCATCATCGACATCATCAGCATCACCATCGTCATCATCATTTGGACACCACCATCGTCACCATCATCATCAACATCACCATCATCGCGACACCATCATCACCGTCAGAACACCATCACCATCATCATCATTTCATCATCATGAACATCAGCATCAACATCATCATCATCGGGACACCATCATCATCTTCAGCAACATCATCATCAACATGATCATCATTCGGACACCATCATCATCGTCAGCATCATCATCACCATCATCACCATCGGGACGCCATCAGCATCATCATCATCTGGACACCATCAAAATCATCATCATCATCACCTCATCATCACCCTCCTCATCAACATCATCATCATTATCATCACCATCGGGACACCATCATCGTCATCATCATTATCATCAACATCACCATCACCATCGGGACACCATCATCACCATCATCATCAACAGCATCATCATCAACCTCCTCATCATCATCGGGACACCATCATCATCATCATCTTCACCATCATCAGCATCATCATCATCTCATCACCGTATCATCAGCATCATCAACATCATCAGGATCATCAACATCATCATCGTTATCGGGACACCATCGTTATCTTCAGCAACATCATCATCAATATAATCATCCTTTGGACACCATCATCATCGTCAGCATCATCATCACCATCATCCACATCGTCAACATCATCATCATCATCGGGACACCATCATCATCACCACCATCACCATCATCATCACCATCATTATCATCAACATCATCGACATCATCATAATCATCATCATCATCATCATCATCATCATAATCATCATCATCATCATCATCATCATCATCATCATCATCATCATCATCATCATCGCGACACTGGCGGGACACTGGCGGGACAGCGCGGGCCACCGGCCCCCGGAGAGGAAACATTTGGTCCGTCCGCGCCTCAGCCAGAGGCGGGACACCGGCGGGACACCGCGGGCCACCGGCCCCCGGAAAGGAAACATTTGGTCCGGCCGCGCCTCAGCCGGAGGAGATTTTCTTCTCGCCCGCCCACGCAGCTTCGCCTCGCCCGCGCGCACGGCACGCACGAACACGAAACCGAAACCGATTTCCTGGTAGGGGGGCTCTCCGTTCCACTTCGATCTCACCCCTTCACTTCCGATTCCCAGGAGAAGTGCTCACCAGGGCCACGTCATCAGCGCACTAGGCTTGTTACGATTTCCTTCAGGCGTATGGCACTGTCGCAGATGTCATATGACCGATTCGTGCCATCACCAACTGGGCTGCCACTGTGCCAAACTCAGCATCACCATCCTCGTGGCACAGATGCGCTTTGATCGCTCCCTGGGTGCATGCGCACCAGCCGCGCGCAACTATGACCGAATGGACGGTCTTATGTTTCTCTCCTTGCGCTCAGGCTTGCGCGAGAACACGATGGCCCACTGCGGTCGCGATGATTTGTATGATCGCGACGATAACAGCGACATGCGAAGTGCAGCTGAAACAGAGGACGATTATGCTGCCACCTCTTCAGTCCAGAGCCGCACCCCACCAGTGACGACGGCAGCGACATCGACGAGGACACAACGACACAGTCTGCGCGGCACCTCCAGCCTGACCCATTCCACGGGCTCTATGCCATGCCAGGCTGCCTCCACGGGTTGAGTTTCAACTCGATGACGCGTCCTCCTTGAGGTTCGCCATGGCAGCTTCATTTTCACCGCATCATGTGCGGGACGACCCGCGCTGGGAACCCGTTCCAAGTGAGGGGAGGAGGGGTCATGCAGCATTTGGGATGCAGGCGCTGCGCACGAGACCGACGACTACCACGTCATTCCAAGCACGGACGTCTACCATCTCACGCACGCGCGGATGCGCGCGCAATTGCACCTCTCAACGCCACGTCGTTTCGCCTTCCTATGAATCGCCCCCCGCAGCGACTTCTCGATTGCATCCATGCCCGGGCCAAATGGGTCCTGCACAGGGGACGCGCAAGTGTCATCAACATAGGAGCAGCTCGAGACGCATTGCGAATCGACTACTGGGTCATCACCCTCATTATCCAGCAAGCCAAGCGTGTCCAGGTATACTGCACCTACGGTAATCTCACAACAAGAGGCAACCATGTCCGAGCATCGGAACAGTTTTCACGAAGAAGAGCAAGATCAGGTCAGCTTCAAAAACATCCTAACAGTGGACAAAGTATCTGTCAACATGAAGGTAAAGTGTACGTTTTACCCACTCTGCACCGAGATGTGAATGAGCTGTGTACGACCGAATACGGATCTGCAATAGCCACAAGCGTTGCTATTGGACATGCCACCCGCCTCTTATACCCTTCCTCCTCCCGATGTCTCATGACAACACGGTCTTAGACTTGACTCTACAGTCTGGCGATCCCGGCACGTTTATGTCCGCTGGCATAGTGCGTATGCCTGTGAGCCTCTGACAGTGCGTCTCCCCTTTGCCATGTGGCACAGCCTTGCGCTTATCCTAGACGCCCCTCTTCTGTGCCTCGCGCTCCCAGCGCTCGCCACATCATTGTGCTCGCAGGCTCTTTCGATATTCTTGGGGCGCAGCCCTCCTCCTTCTGGGGAGAGGTAGACACTGAACGGACGCTGGGTCCGGGCCTGGCCAGAGCAGGCCCGCATCGCGCTCCCCGGGATTCTCGTGCCCGGCCCCGCGGACAACGACGATGGCGGCGGCGGCGGCGACGACGGCGACGGCGATTGCGACAGCGATGGCGACGACGAGGGTGGGCAGGAGGGCGAGATGGGTGACAGGAGGAGGGGTTTTTGCTTCATCTGCTCCCCCTCCTCCCCTGTCTCCTCCCGTCCCTCCTTCTCCGAGCCAGCGTTCTCGTCCTCCTCTTCTCGTCCTCGCCACAGCTCCGTCATCGCCATCGTGTGTCCCCAGTCGTTGCGCAAGACTTCCCGAGTCGGCCCTCAGTCAGCGTGCTCGCCCTCCGCCGCGCCCCTGCTGTCGGCGGGCCCACCAGGGTGTACGACGTGATGACGGGCTCCTGCATAGCGATCCTGATCGGCCACGAGGGCGAGATCTCGAAGGCCCGGGGTGCGGGAGCGCCTGGAGACGGCGGGGCGGAGGCTGCCAGAGGTGGCCCCGGTCCAGGGCCCCCCCCCAGCCTTGCCAGGGAGGTCCAGGTGGCCTTTCCAGAGCACCCCGCGCGAGGCCCAGAAAGCCCCAGGGGCTCCCAGCATGGTTGCTGTCAGCTGCGCCTCGTCCAGCGCTTTCCGGGACGCGCGTGTCGCCTTTCGTTGGTTTTTGGAGGCCTGGTAGCGACAGCCCCACAGCTCGCTCGATTCCTGTCCTTGCTCTCTCTTTTTGTTCTCTCTCGTTATTTCTTTCTCTCCCTCTCTCTCTCTCTTTCTCTCTGCATGCAGGTGCTCGCCTCTGGCCTCGTCCCTCATCTCCGCCTCCGCCTCAGAACCTCGCAGCATCCAGCATGATTACCATCTTTCTCTGCCCATCTTGTTCCGTTCTCTGTGCGTGGCGCGTTCCCGTTGTTGTGCTCGAGTTTTCTGGAGTGCGCTCGGTACTCAAGTGGCGTTCGCAGTTCGTAGTACCGCGCACGGCCACCGCCCTCGTCGAGTGCGCTCCTGGGCAGCTTGAGGGATTGGCTTGACGCGAATCTTGGAAACGATCTGACATCTTGGTCTGACACGGCCCGTGCGGGTGGCAACGGGTGACCAAGGATCAGGCGCTTGTCCTCGGAGGGCAGGTGGCCCTTCACACGCTCGTGCAATATGCAGGGAACTCTGACACTCCGACTACGCAGGTCCCTCACTCTCTTCACCGACGCCGGCTTCTCCGCCTAGGCGGGTAAACCCATGGCGTGGAGACTCTTGGACGGGCCGACGCTAGTGGAGGACCTGTTTTCCGACGCCGATTTACGTTTCCGAGTCGGTTAGTTTGTGGAGCCCCAGCCGTCGTGGGCATTACGGTTAAAGCAGACGTGCCAGGAAGAGGAGGAGGATGATGAGGAGGAGAAGGAGGAGGAGGAGGAGGAGATCCGCGCCCACCAGACGTCCGCAGAGTACGCCCTCAGGACCCCGAGCTGTAGTTCAAGCACGCAGCCTTCGCTGGTCGTCGGCCTTGTAGAGACCGAGGAAGGGGTCGAGAGGCCCATGGTCTGCTGGCCTCTTGCCGTACACCGACCCCAGGACCACAGTTTGGTGCATGCCCTTTTTGAACATATCTTGGCTAAGAGCGCGATGGTGACGCAGCGTGGCGCTGCAAATCGTTTGCGTGCGTGGATGTGGGCACAACGAAACCACCACCATGCGATTGACAGGATCTCGAGCGTCTTGGCAGTCCTGGTTGGGTATGTAGCTGGTCGCCCACCGGTGCACTTCCGACCCCTACGAGGAGTTTTTCTGTGGAGTGTTATCGGGTTCGGCTTGTTCACCACAGTGCTTCTCCGTCTTCTACGGGCGCGACGTCACCGAGTGGTCCCGCGTTCGAGCCGGCGGTGGGAACGCATCGTGGCGCTGGACTTCGCATCGCTGTCCAGACATAGGAGGATCCGCTCACCATCCCTTCTCTCGTGCTTCCTGGGGCCACCCGCGGGCTCCGTGAAGGCGGTGGTGCACGCCATGGGGAGCCACTCGGGCCTCTACACTGGGAACGGTGTGTTGCGCGATGGACTTTTTCCAGGCCTCTTCGGGCGCGTCGCGGAGCACGTCAGGGCCATGCTCCACCGCGGGCGTGAGTCAGGACGGCGGCCCCCTTCTCGCTCGCTGGGCAAATGGGTTGGTTGGGTCTCTGCACTTCATGCCCATCGTCATGGCTCCATCGGGTCGGGCGAGCTGCCGCTATGAGACCAGGGCCGTTCGCAGGTACGCGCCATCATGCAACGTGGCGGACTCGCTCGAGTCGGAGGCGACTAGCCGACGGCGCGGGACGGGCATCCTGCACGCGATACCACGGACAAGACGGGCCGCCCGCAGGCGACCCCCCTCGTGGCGACGGGGCCACCGCTCGAGGACAACGGCCCCCGCGCGGAGGTCCCTGTTTCCAGATGGTCAGACATCCGCCTCGGAGGCGGCCCAGCCGTCCACGTTTGAGGCCATGCGGCAGCGCCCTTTTGCGACCCTATATCCTATACCGCCTCCAGCGGACCGAGCCTTTCCTTCTTGCAGATGAAGTAGGCCCGTCGTGGCTGTTTCAAGCACGGCGGATTGGCCTCTTACTGGCTTACTTGGCAGGCAAGTAGGAGGACGCAACGTTGTTTCGATGCATGCCGCGTAGTGCGGTGGGGGTTAACGTGTGTCGGGCGTCGACGCTTTCTGACCGATTGTTGAGGTCTTTCCATTGGCAGTGGATGGCATCGCATCAAGTTGCTTTCCATCCTCGACATGACTCCGAGTATGCACATATTTCAAATCAACCTGATGCGATGCCATCGGCGCGCGCGCGGAAGTCGCAGACGTCGATGACGTCTGCGATTTCCGCGCGCCCGACCTCCTCTCCGTCCCTTGCCAGAGGAGTTTCAAGACAGACGATATCGACAGTAGGTTTCTTCGTCGCAGTAGTATGCAGGGAGATCAATGCGGCGCGCTCCCACGCGAGAGGTCCACGCGCAGCCTGCGAGAGCGACCTGCACAAAGCAACGCTGCTGGAAGGACCACGTCTCGGCGAGCCGCTTCTTTGAGACGTACGAGGCCAGTGCCCCACGTTGTGTGCCCGACGAGTCACCGACGGCCCCGTGGCGCCTCACTCGTCTGGCAGGTCCCCGGAGACTGCCACGATGGCCTTGCCCCGCCAGGCGCTGCGTGAGGCCGCGGCGGCAGTTGAGGGAATGGGCTCAGCGAGCGCGGCTTCACTCCTGGGTCCTTCGACGAGGACTACGGCGCCTTCGGCACTGGGTGGCGCGGCCCTGGATCGCCCCGCCCGGTTTCCTCCAGAGTGGGATCGGATGGAGACGGTCATGCAGGACGCCTCAGAGGGCAACGATGAGTGGGCCGTCATGGCGGACGACGGGGAGCGCGAGACAGTGTGGGCACGTGATGGCGGTGACCTGACCAGATACCTTCATCAGCTTGCTCTGGCCGATCCCGATTGGATGCTGCGCTTGGAGAACTCCCCCGTGACGTCGCTATCTGGATGAGCGGGCGCGTTGTGGCAGCCTCGCCTCCGCAGCTGTGCGCGCCTCGGCTCCTCCCGCCAGCGTCGGCGGAGGCTCGGCCGCCGTGCGTTTCCCCGACCGTGATGGGAAAGGCTTCTCCCCGACGGGAGACGAAGGACGGGACGGAAGCCACGTCGTAGTTGCATGCGCCGCGTCATCAATTGTTCTGAGGCTCCTGGCTGGGTCCAGAGGCTTCCAGATCATTGGGCGAGCTGCTCGCGACCTCCTCCATCGGTCAGGCGTGAGCTCGGAGGTCTCTCCCATCCGGGTGGCCTCATCGTGCGCGCGGTGTGGGAGGCTGTGTGTGTGCCGTGTCTCTTGTGGTGGTTGACGATGATCAGGCGTGAGAGCAGTGCGATTCAGGTACGGTCTCCAAGGCGTGGTCGAAAGTTGCATGCGAGATCGTGAGAGCCTTGGGGGTAGACTATTCCTGGCATGTGCGCGGGTCTCCTTGGTCTCGGTCGGCGGCGCCAGTATGCGAAGAACAGCCTTCCCGTCGGAGGAGTTCTCTCGCGGGTTACGCTGTCTGTTCTGATGTGCCGGCATGAGGGTAGGGTTCGGCGGAACCTGCCACGGGTGGGCACCGCTTGGGTCCACCTCCCACTGGGCCAGGCTGCGCTGCCAGTGGGGCAAAGGAGGTATGTAGACGACATTATAGGCATGAGTGCCCACTACAGGCTATGCACGTGCAAGTACCTCTGCCAGGTGCACCCCATCAAGTTCAGCCCCGCGTCGTCATAGGAGGGCCCCGAGGAGCCTTGCATTTGGGTGGCTTCAAGCTGTCATGGTCTAAATCCGCGTGGCCCCCAAGAACCCCAATCGGCTGCGGTTACTTGGTCTGGACGAGGCGCTGGCCAAGACGAACATCATCCAGTGGCCTGGGGTCCCGCCGAGGAAGTTTGGCATGATGGTTTCCTTGTGTTCCTTCGGGTACGCGACGGTCCAGTTCCTATCCTTGTCGATCGGTGCAACCACGGCCTGGTCCCTCGAGTTCGCACTGGAAATCGTCTTCCTGGGATGCCCCCTGGAATTCGCCATCGCTGCTGCCCACGCTGCTCCGTGGAGTGCGTCTGCTGAAAGGGTTCGGCAGGGCTCCGAGTTTGGCGCCGCCGCTCACGCTGCGCCGAGCGCCTGGCCATGAGCAGCAGTGGCAGCCGCGGTTGGCATGGGGGCTCTTGGAACTGCGACCGTGGAAGCGACGAGTACGACAGGTACGACCGTGACAAGTGCGACACGCACGATCGTGACCGTGATCGCGATAGGGATCGCGACCGTGATCGCTACAATGTCGAGATCGCGACCGCCGCTCGAGCTCATGGGGCAAGAAGGGCCGCGGGAGGGGCGGCAGCTTGGAGCGCCCGCGATCCCGCGAGAGGACGTCCAAGGGCAGCGGGTCCCGTGGCGGGTCGTGCGAGAGGACCCCTAGGGGCCGAGGCAGCAGCCTTTCCCCGAGGGTGATCGACGACATGAAGAAGGCCTTGGCCTTGGTCGATAAGGAGTTCGAGTCGTGCAGGCACGACCTCCAGCATCGTCAGAAGGAGATGGAGCTCCGCAAGCAGGGTGAGTACGTTGCGGCGGCCTTGCGCAGCGCTTTGATGCCGCAGACGGACGAGCTCAAGCAGTTTTTTCAGCGCGAGTGCCCTGCAACGCCGCGGGCTCGCAGCCCGAGCCCCGCCATCAGCGCCGAGAAGACGCTCGCGCGTGCTGTGGCTGCACCGGCTCCAGACGGCGCTCGGCACGAAGACCACGTTGCCGCCAACGGGGGGCGCGTCACCCTTGATGGTATCATGGTCAGGGCGCTCCAGCGCGACAAGATTGCCACGGCGAACGAGAACAGCAAGCTATTCAGCCACATGCCGCGCAAGCAAATCCCAGTCGCATCACTCATGGGTGTCGTCTTGGGCAAGATGGGCCGTTTGCATAAAGTCGAATGCCGCGACAGACTGTGGCAGGGGGGCACGTGCTCGGACCAGCTCACGGGGTGTGAGGAAGATGGGGTATCTGGGCATACGTTCTTCAGGTATGTGGCCATCTCCGTCGTCCTTGGCCTGGTCCTCGGCATGTGTATCCATGTATGGGTCCCGCCTGCCAACCACCGCCATTTGGAAGTGATGATGACATATTGGATGCTGAAGTTGAGCTATGCAAGGGAAGCGCGAAGCATCCAGACGTTAGTCAACGCCCTTGAGCTGTCCTTTTCAGTCTTCTCGAGCAGCAGTGCGGCAGTGGTTCTTCCTTTGTTTCTTGCGTCTCAGGAGTAGCAGGTGTTGGTATGTCCTTTCTTTTCCGACGCGTGAAGGGGGGCGCCTCCACACATGGGCTTCTCGAGACCCCGTGGGCCCCGCAGGCGTGAAGCTCTCCATGGGGGCCCGCAGGATGGGCCAGATGATGGCCTCGTGGAACTGAGGTAGCCGCGATTATGCAGCCTACCCTCCTCGAAGATCTCTACTCTCCCCCTTCCCCCCCCCCCCCCCCCGCACCTCCGAGAGTCTTTGACAGCTGGGTGGGGCTGCAGGGCAGCGCCGTCTTGGCAGCACACAGGCAGGAGGTGCATGGGGGGTCGACTTAAGAGGGCGTCGGGAGCAGGACGCAAACAGCGACGCAGCCCTGACGCCTGCCGCGCCCGTTTTAATTTGGAAGGTCTCTCTCTCTCTCTCTCTTTCTATTTCTCTCCCTCTCTCTCTCACACGCCCGCCCTCGCAGTGACCTATACCGTCACGTCCTCCCCCAATCCCCTTCGAGATTCTTCGGCAGTCTATACAGGGTGCCCTTCTGTGGTCGGCTCACGGAGCAGACAGGGAACCGATCGTGCCTGCATGCAGATGCTCACTTCGTCGCTCACCTCCGCCTCCGCATCACCCCCCAACCTCCAGCATCACTGCTGTCTTTGTCTGTGAATCATGCTCCGTTCCATGTGCGCATCGCGTTACCGATTTTGCGAACGAGTTTTCAGGAGTGCTCTCGGCACCCGAGTGGCGCTCAGTGCCGCGCACGGCCACCGGCCTCGTCGAGGGCGCTCCTGGGCAGCTTTCGGGATTGCCTTGACCGGAACATCTGAAACGATAACTACCCCTCTTTCATTTTGCGCTCTCTCTCTCTCTCTTGTGTGTTTCCTTCTCTCTCTCTCTCTTTCTTTTTCTCCCCCTCTCACTCTCACCCTCTCGCTGTTTCTCTCCATCTCTCTCCATCTCTTTCCCATGGCGCGTCGCGGCGTGGCGCTTCCCGCCAAGTCGCATGGGTGGCGCATCCAACAAAGAGGGCCTCAGGGGTTTTGGATGGTGGTGGGGGGTTCAATTGGAGCCTCCGCGCGCCTCCCCGTGGCATGCAGCTCAGGCATCGAAACAGCTTCCAGGGGCCTGAACGGAGATATGATGGCGGGGCCAGGAGGACGGACGAGGATGAGAACAGCGGAGGAGGAGGAGGAGGAGGAGGAGGAGGAGGAGGCAGATGATGATGATGATGATGATGATGATGATGATGATGAGGAGGAGGAGGAGGAGGAGGAGGAGGAGGATGAAGACGAGGAGGAGGAGGAGAACGTAGCAATCTGAAACATGTGAGGAGGAGGAGGAGGAGGAGGAGGAGGAGGAGGAGGAGAGACGGAAGAGAGAGGAGGAGGAGGAGGAGGAGGAGGAGGAAGAGGAGGAGGAGGAGGAGGAGGGGGGAGATGAGGAGGCGGACGGAGGAGCAAGAAGAGGAAGAGGAGGAGGAGGAGGAGGAGGAGGAGGAGGAGGAGGAGGAGGAGGAGGAGGAGGACAGAGGAGGAAGAGGAGGAGGAGGAGCAGGGACGTTCAGGAGGAGGTGGGAGAGCAGGGCAGGGATCCAGAATGGGATCAGGAGTGGGAGTGTCGGCCCCGACCAGCTTGGGAGAGGTGCAGTTCAGCCCCAACGGCGCCAAGATCATCACGGCCTCCAGCGACAGGACGTGCCGGCTCTGGGCGGTGGAGACTGGCGAGTGCCTGCAGGCGCCTTGCGCGGCCAGGCGACCCACCAGGGCTTCGACCTCCCCAGGACCCCTTCGCGTCGGGAACTGATCGTGACGGTATGGATGGCTGCAGGGGCGGGCACCGTGGCCGTCAAAACGACTCAGGACCATGAGCCCGTTCCGGGGAGGTGGCCGAGATCACCCCCAAGTCAGTGTTTCGACCTCCCCCTGAACTTCAAGCAACCAGCGACGAACCTTGGGTACGAAGTTTCGGTACAACTTGATCAGCCACACTTCGGGAATGCCTTGATCGTACCAGTAAGTGGCTGGCGTGAAATGCCTTGCCAAGTCGCAGGTTTGGAGCGGGCTCACGTAGGCCCTCCCGACAAGTCTCTTGCGGAACCGTGCGCGGGTTTCTGTTCCGCTGCGTTCCCAGTTTTCCAGCGTTGAGAAAGCATTCGCTGCGGGCGTTTCCTCGTGGATTCGGCGCCAACTTCTTCAGTTTGGGGGACAATTCGGTGCCCCTGTTTGGTTGTTCTTCTTTCCCCAAACAGTGCTTGTACTCAGGGGCTTCCTTTTCTCTTCTAAGAACTGGGCCGTGCGCGGCCCCAGCGGCCCCGCAACTCGCCCGTGGCGCGCATCGTTTGCAGATGTTGGCCCGAGCCGTTCTGCCTGTGAGCCCAGAGGGCGACGAGTCGAAGGCAGCGTTTGATAAGGAAATTGTATCGCGTGCTCTCACCTCGGGGCGCTCCCTTCAACAGGTCAACGCGAAGCGTGTACAACCAGAGCAGAAACAACTTCTCGTCCTGCATCCTCCTCCTCCTCCTCCTCCTCCTCCTCCTCCTCCTCCTCCGTAGCCATTTTGGCTCAAGATGTTGAGTTCCGCAGGGGAACAAGTGGATACCGCTAGTCCGCGGCAGTGCCAGGGCTGTTCAGCCCGACGCCCTCTCTCAGGACCTGGGCGGGGAGCTCCGCGCTGCCGTCCTGAGTCTCGCCGCTCTTAGTGCGTGCAGGTCCCCATGGGCGGCAGTCGTCATGAACGGAAGTCCCGCAAGGCAAAGGAGGAGCGACGGGCGCCGACGGCCTCATCGCGTTCTGCCTCGTCCACTCCACGTGCCTCTTCTCCATCGGCGCGGCTGCGTGATCTTCGGGATTCTCACGGTGCTCCTGACATCCGTGAACGTGATCGCATTCGGGCGCGGGACCGATACCTCCCCACCGCCAGTGACGCATCGGCGGAGGGCTCTCGGCGGTCCCGCAGTGCTGGCCGTGGCGCCTCTCCCGTCATCGTCGACAGCTCTTGTGGTACGCAGCATTTCGGCATCGCCACCCCCATCCCAGCCGACGAAGGGCAAGTCCCAGCTGGGGGTGCGAAGGCCTCGCCCTCTCCGTCCCCATGGCCGACTCCACCAGCTTCGAGGCCGTGGGCGACTCCTGGCACCCCCGCTGAAGGCCGTGCGCCTGATCCCTGGGCTACGGCAGCTATGTCCAATGGAACCACGCCACATGATGGAGGCAGCAGTGTTGCCCAATCTGCGGACTCTTTTCAGGCGGAGGCCATGCAGGCCTTCACACAGAAGGCGATGGAGACCATCCTGGCCCAGCTTCCTGCCGCGCTCAGCGCGGCCACAGTACCGCTCATGGAAAAGTATGAGGAGCGCTTCAATCAGCAGCTTCGACGTGTTGATGGGGAGGTCCATGCACAGCGTGCGCGTTCAGACCTTCTCGACAGCACCGTGGCGGGCCTCGCTCATCGTCTATCGCATTTGGAGAAAGAGCTGGACCTCGCAAAGACGAAGCCACGTCCTCCTGTTGTTCCGAATCCAGAGTGGGACAGGGATGTGGATCTCACCATCCTCACGGTGCGGGCATCATCGGCTGTCGCCAAGAACGCTGTGGCGGCGGCATTGGCTCCTTGGCTCTCCGAAGCGAATGTCCCTCTCGGGGATGGAGTGGAACTTCACGGAGATGATGTCGCCAAATCCTTCACTCTCGCATTTCAAGGCCCCATGGAAGCTACCCGTTCTTCGAGAAGGAGTCAGGCCCAGCAGCAGCTCCGTCTGCCAAATGGGTCATGGCGCGCATTCCAGGTTGACGCGGGCACTGAGTCAGTACCGATCCATATTTCCGCGGACAAGAACAAGAAGATGGTTGCCACAGAAATTGCATGCAAGAAGCTGCAGAGGTGTCTCGCCGACCGTGGCATCCGCACTTTCCTCGACAAGGATAATGGTCAACTCATGGCCAAGTGGGAGCCCTTGGTGCGAGTGCTCCCACTACCTGCGAGCAGAACGCCGAAAGTGGAATGGAACCTCTCTGCACTTGCCGACAATTGCTTGTCCAGGGAGGAGGCCAATGAGCTGGTTCGCCAGGTCTTCGACACACGTGAAGTACGGTGGAGTGGGTAACGAGATGTTCGGCGTGGGGTTTCTAGCTTTCACGACCTGGAATTCAGGGGCCCTGTTACACTACAGACCAGCGATTTTGAGCAGGAAGCTCAGCTATCTGAGCAAACTGTTGGGTGCTGGAAAAGTAGTGGCGATACAGGAGATCCACGGTGGTGAATATGCTATGGAGGAAGCTCTTCAGAGGATTCACTGTACTTCGCATTCATGCTTCGTTTCTGAGTCTGAGATGCCGCGGACTGGAGGCGTCGCCACACTCGTTCCCAAGGACCCACGCGTTCGAGCCAAGGGTAAGTGCTTTGTCGCTGGTCGGGTTCTTCTGGTCACTATCCATAATTCAGTGGTCGACTTCACCATCTACCACTGGAACGTGCACAATTTTGCCATCGACGCTGCTGGCCTGAAGGAGATCCAAGCATGTATAAAATCTCAGCTTCGGCGAGTGCGCGATGATCCGCTGAAGTACACGGTGATCCTCACGGGCGACTTCAACATTCCTGCGAAGCCCATCGAGCACCATCGGGGAGAGGATCACACCAGTACTCCATGTTCGTCAGGCCGTGGGGGGCAGGATTCAGCCCTGCAAAGTCACCACCCCACGGCCGCATGCACTCCGAGTTCGGCTGCATCGAGGACAACACCGGCCACCTGCACACCACCTTCTGGGCCATGTTCTCCGAGTCCGTCCTCTTCTTCGGCTTCATCTCCTGCGTCCTCCCAACCACCCGCAGCCTCCCCCAGTGCCGCGTCGACGGGGGCTTCACAGGGGAGGCAGGCCACACCTGCTTCGTCGCAGGCTGATGGTGCCCAGCGGGGAGACTCCACCCTGCGGGTTGGCTCTACTCGGGCGTCCCGTCCTGGCGACTCGAGCTGGCTGAAGATCTTCAGGGAGATGACGGAGCTCGCCTCGGAGGCGCCAACCCACTGGCACGCCTCAACTGCATGCGAGTCCAAAATTGATCGTCTCTTTGTCGCCTCACCGCCATGGCTCCTGTGTCAAACTGCTCAGCTAGTATCGGTCCGTGATGAACCTCATGAGTTGGCCCATCGGGGGTATTTCTGACCACTCGCCCCTGGAGGTCGTCTGGCGCCCACGGGATCACTCCAGAACGAAACGACAGAGGCCCCTCCCGCGTTGGGTGTACAAAGACAAGATTTACGCTCAGCTAGTCTCCCACATGGAATCCCAGGTGGGCATTGAGGATCTCGCTTTCGACCCGCCGCGCATGCTTGCTGCTGCTACCGCTGTCCGGCAAGCTGCTGGGCTTCTTGCACGCAATGCCATCTGCCGTGCTGCACCATCATCACTGACTTCTCGGGCTATGATTTCTCGTTCTGTTGCGCGATGTGTCTGGCGTAACGACGCCCGTCTTGCCCGAGTTCTCCTATTCCAGCACCCCTGGACGCAGAGTCTCATACGTGTGGATGGCGAGATCGTATCTTTCATTGATCCTGGTGGCTTCCATGATCTCCATAGTTTGTGGCAGCAGCAAGAAGCAGAATCCAGAAAGAAGGCTCTCGAGTCAGAGATCAACCAGTCGTCGTCGAGCACGGTCAGGATTCGTCTGGCTGGGCGTCGTCGTGCTATCATTAGGTCTGCACAGTTATGGAATCCGCTGTGTCGGCGTAAGTACTTAGCATCGGTCAAGGCGAATGAGATGGTCTCGGTTTCGGAGATGCTGGCGGGCGGCCCACTGACGTCGGAACAGGCACCTCCCTCCCAAGCCCCGATGGTGGACGCATTGGCCTCATATTGGGGCCCCGTGTTCGCCAAGACCCACTCCGTCCCCTCTGTCGCCAAGAAATACATAGACCGATTCAGCAGCTCAGAGGACTTCTCAGAGGTTCGCCCACCCATCCTTCGAGATGTGGAACGTGCGCTGAAACAGTCGAACTGGTCCGCTCCTGGCCCCGATGGGCTTCACTATGCGGCCTGGAGGTGTGGTTCGGGGTCGAGGGTCCTTCTCGAAGTTCTTCGCTGGATTGCTCTTGGGAACTACATGCCCTCCAATTTCACTGCGTTGCTGGCCGTCTTCCCCCCTAAGGACCCTAAGGCCCCTTCCCATGATCCCGAAGATGGTGGTGTTGTACGGGCCCCTGGTGATACCCGCCCGCTCGGGCTCAAGAACTCCTCGAATAAAGTGGTGTGCAGTGTGCTGAACCAGACTATGAGCTGGGTGACGCAGAGGATCGGGGCTCCATCCCAAAGGGGCTTTATTCGGAGGCGAAATTTTCTGGACAATATTGTCGATTTGGACCGCTACGCTCGATCAGCCAGTATTATGTCTACTGCGTCCTCCCAGGCACCGTCGTTGATCGCATTTGACTTTGCCCAGGCCTTCCCGTCGGTATCCCAGGAGTGGCTATTCCAATGTCTCGCCCGACTCCGTATTCCTGCCCCTCTGGTCCGCGCTCTTCGCTCCCTCTACCACTGCACTCCATGCTACTTCGTCGGCGACTCTCCGACGTACCTATACCACATGAACTCAGGGGTGCTTCAGGGCTGTCCGTTGAGTGGTTCGCTCTATGTGATTGCGAGCAACCCGTTCCTTCTGGACTTAGAACACTGTCTAGTTGCACGTGGGCGTCTCTTGGGGGTGGTTCGTGCATGTGCGGATGATCTTGGGGCAGTCCT